GAGTTGGTGTCGGTGGTGTTAATCACAAATGTAATTATTTAAAAGCTCCCACGCATGTCAGGGCAGTGAGAACTGCAGATGTTGGCAACCCTTGAGCATTCTTCTTCTCGACTTGCCATTAAATCAATTCAAAGTTCCCATCTCAATGTATCAGGATTAATTAGGTGCTTTTAGGCAGAGATTACTGGCTGGCTGACAGATTGTCCCATCTCCTGTGCCCACGCCAGGAGGGTGACGCAGAGCATGGGCAGGGACAAGGGTATCAGGGGGTGGATTCTGCATCACTCTGTGGCCACTTTTGCCCTGAAAGGTCTGAAAGTGCTCCTGGGCTCTGCCCCCACAGGCAGGTCAATGAGCATCTCTCATCCACAGCAGGGATGGAATGGAACCTCCTAAAAGGAGGCTGTAGAGAGGTGGAGGTCTTTTCTCCCAAGTCACACGTGATAGGACAAGAGGAAATGGCCTCAAGTTGCACCAGAGAAGGTTCAGGATGGATATTAGGAAAAAATTCTACACCAAAAGGGTTATTAATCCTTGGAATGGGCTGCCCAGGGAAGGGGTTGAGGCCCCATCCCTGGAGGGATTCAAAAGACAGGTTGACATAGTGCTTAGAGACATGGAATGGAATGGTTCAGTTGACTGACCCACATTATCTAGCAATCCTCTAGTCCAACTGCCCAACCACTCCAGGGCTGACCAAATTATTGAGAATATTGTCCACATGCCTCTTAAACACTGAGAGGCCTGGGGCATCTGCCACCCCTCTGGGAAGCCTGTTCTCCCTGCACACACACCACTGCTGCAGAAGCGTGGTCATTCCTGCCCAGAAAAAAGTCCATTCCCAGTGCACTTCAGCCCCATGTCATGTGCTTTGGAGTTTTTGTTGGGACTTTTTCCCCCTGCTTTTTTTTTTTTAAAAAAAAAAAAAAAAAAAAAAAGAAAACACCAACAACCAAGTTTGGAAAGTCTCAGGAAATAAAAACAAGAAATTGCTGACAAGTGTCCCACTGTAATTGAGTGAGAACACAGAGCTCAGCTCTATGGGTTCCCAGAAATACGGTCCAGATGTGGCTCTCCATGGTCATGCAGCCAAGCCACAACCCCTGAAATGACTATCCCTGCGACTGGGAAACTTCCCCAGTGCCCCTTCCAGCCACGCACAGCCACAGACGATGCCCTGAACGACACCCAGCCAAAGACTTGAGAAAACACAGGGTTGGCAGCAGAGCCTGGAGGGGCCCTACCAGTCCCCAGTGCTGAAGGTCTGTCCACAGCAGGGACGTTGGAACCAAACTCATTTGATCCAAACAAAGCCCAGAGCCCCGTCCAACCTGACCTTGAATGTTTCCAGGGATGGGGCATCTCAGAGAATCACAGAATGGTCTGTGTGGAAAGGGACCTTAAAGCCCATCTCGTTCCAACCCCCTGCCCTGGGCAGGGACACCTCCCACCAGACCAGGTTGCTCCAAGCCCCCTCCAACCTGGCCTTGAACCCCTCCAGGGATGGGGCAGCCACAGCTTCTCTGGGCAACCTGGGCCAAGCTCTCACCACCCTCACAGCAAACAATTTCTTCCTGAGAATTCATCTCAGTCTTCCCTCTTTCAGTTTAAAACTGTTCCCCCTCGTCCCATGGCTCCCCTCCCTGATCCAGAGTCCCTCCCCATCTCTCCTGGAGCCCCTTGAGGGACTGGAAGGGGCTCCAAGGTCTCCCCGAAGCCTTCTCTTCTCCAGGCTGAACCCCCCCAACTCTCTCAGCCTGTCCTCACAGTAGGGGGGCTCCAGCCCTTGGATCATTTTCGTAGCCTACTCTGGACCTGTTCCAACAGGTCCATGTCCTTCCTGTGTTAAGGACTCCAGAGCCAGACACAGGACTCCAGGTAGGGTCTCCTCAGAGCAGAGCAGAGGGGCAGAATACCCCCCCTTGCCCTGCTGGCCACACTTCCTTTGATGCTTCTTTCCGTCCTCTGGCTGAGGAAACAGGAATGATGGGGATGCTGAGAAGTCCAGGTGAGTCTCAGTTGCCCTGAGAGGTAAGAGCAATCCCACCAGGCAGGCTCTGGTCTGTGGTGGAGAGAGCCAGAGGAAATGGGGAAGGGGAGGAGGAGATGGGGAGGAGATGGGGAAATGAATGCACCCTCCTCAAATCACAGCCCTGCACTTTCTACTCCAATATCAACCATGAAGAACATAACCCTGAGGTTGGGGGGTGGGGGGAAAGTCCCTCTCTTCCCTCTAGTGCAAACTCAGCCTGTGGGAACCAGATGGCCAACCAGCAAAGCTAGGCTGGTTCCCCAAACACCATCAGGTTGGTGCAAATCACATGGGTTTTTTTGACAGATGGTCCTTTCGCCAAGAGTATTTGCCCAGCACTTGCCCTAACAGCCTGTTTTCTGCAGACAGACTGCTCTGTGCAACCACAAGCCCCACGGCGTATCTGAAACACAACAGCTCTGACCACGGAGCCCCGAGACACTTCTCTCATCCTTTACAGGGCATAATGAGACATTCCCCTCTCCTCACCGTGCGCAGTGAACTGCTTTGGGAGAAAAACATACTGAATCCAGCAGACGCGCTTGCATTATTTAAGTTGGGAGGAAAAACATGACCTGCCAGCTGGTAGCAGTCCCCCCTGCCTCCCTGGCCAGCAGGAGATGTCCCCCCAGCATTGCAGCTCTGCTCCAGCTGCCCAGGCACCACACATCTCTATGTCTTATATCTTAAAAGGCCACTAAAATGGGCCAGCAGACACCTCTCCCATCCATCTGGGAAGAGCTGAGTTTACACAGAACCATAGAAACACAGAATGGTTTGGGTTGGAAGGAACCTTAAAGATCACCCACTTCCAACCCCCTGCCCTGGGCAGGGACACCTCCCACCAGACCAGGTTGCTCAAAGCCCCATCCAACCTGGCCTTGGACCCCTCCAGGGATGGGGCAGCCACAGCTTAGGTAGCAATTAAATCCTTGGTGAGATAAGCCAAAAGGTCACTCAGGTGCTGTGATGCCCCATCACAAATCCCTGACCATCGGAGGCCACACAGGGCACGGGATGGTTTCCCCCTTCCAACAGCAGGGGTGGGAGGCAAAGGGTGGGCTTGGGGACACCACATGGGACACCAAAACCCTGCTGCTCTTCATCCATCTGTTGTGATAGAGCACTCAATGCAAGGGTCCACACAGCTGGGTCTCTGGGATGGCTGATGGTTGGTCCTGGAAGCACCAGGGTAACCCTGGGCCATCTGACCCACAAGGTTAGTCCAGGGAATCCTCAGATGCAGTGCTAAGGGACATGGTGTAGGGGATGACTTTGTAGAGTAGGGTAGATGGTTGGACTCGATGATCCCAAGGTTCTCTTCCAACCTAGACGATTCTATGATCCTATGATTTCTAATTCGGGCACCCACTTCTCTCCACCTGCCCTGGCCGGTAAGGAGATGCCTGTTTTATTTCCAAAGTCTAAATGACCTCTTTCTCCTGGAAGACCTGCATCTCTTGGCCAATTATATTGAATTTTCCAAAGGCAGAGTGAGGCCGGTGAGTAAACCAGCCAAATCCCTTCCCTGCAACGCTGCGTGTAGTTCCCAGAGCCTCTTTCTACCCTCTTGGTTCAAGCAAAACCTCCTGCTGCCATTACTCCCCTGGCCGGGAAGAAGTTCTTTTAAGCTGGAGACCTATTCCCTGGAGTGGAAAGAAGATTTTTCCTCCCCGTACTCCTCAAGAGAGATCATCTCCAGTCGCTGTCATCCCCTTATCAATAATTCACCGCGCAGCCGGGCTCCGCATCGCGCCGGGGCTGCCTGCGTGGTTTTTGGGCTCTGCCTGGGAAGAGCAGCCCTGAGTAATCAACGTCTCCTGAAGGCTCTCAGCGAAGCAGAACGAGCAGCTCAGGCAGCCAAATGAGTCACGTCCCCTGGAAGCTTCTCATTTTTTAGCATCCCGTCGAGGAGAGCAGCTTCGCAGAAGCACCTGCTAAGGCTTAGCGAGCCCTTTTGGCGTAGCAAGAAATAAAGATATAAATAAATAAATAAATAAATGAGAGGGGAGATAATTAAATTCCATATTTCAATCTTACAGGAGGAGCTCATGTTAAAAAGACTCTTTCTCCTTCCAGAAAATCCAATACAGTTAAGTGATTAAAAGGGGAAAGCAGACATTAAACCCAAGGAGAGGAGGCCAGACAAGCCGTGGTGAATGCAGATCTCTCCCCTCCCCATTCCAAACACAAGCTTGTTGCTCTTCCCATTTACCTCGCACGGAATAACAACTGGGAGGCACAAAGCCCGGGATTAAAACGGCATCATTTCTTAGCAAGAGACACATTTGACTTGTTTCTCCTGTACTCACACACCGCACACGTGCCCCAAGGCCTCATTGCCTACCGAAGAGATGGTCGTCTGCGTGCGTGACACCGTCTCAGCACCCCAACCTGCCACCTCTGATTAAAACCTACCCATTAGAGTGATTTACGGCTCCGAAGAGGCACAAGTGTCCTTTCCTGACTAAATTAGGCACCGGGTATGAAATGAAAGATGATCTACCCTTTTCCCAGTTGTCACCAGGAAGGCTCCACCACCGCAGCGTGGATGAACCATCTCGGATGTCCGAGACATCTGTGCAGTCATTGACTAAACCTTTAATCTTGCAGGCTGGCTTTTGCTTTGAAACTGCTAGCTACTGGGAGGGTGGTGAGGCACTGGAACAGGTTGCCCAGAGAAGCTGTGGCTGCCCCATCCCTGGAGGGGTTTAAGACCAGGTTGGATGGAACTTCGAGCAACCTGCTCTGGTGGGAGGTGTCCCTGCCCAGGGCAAGGGGGTTGGAACTGGATGATCTTTAAGGTCCTTTCCCACCCAAACCATTCAATGATTCTATGCAACACCCTGCCAGAGCACTGAGCCAAACTGCAGTTGAGAGCTCCTCGATCCAACCAGGTGGATCTATGTCCTGTGGATTTATTGGCATGTGTCTCCCAGGGAGATGTGCCTCTCATTTCTCAATTTACCTGCTTGTTTCAACACGTGGCTTCAGAAAGTGGGAAGCATCCCTCTGTGGGACAGCAGGATGCTCACCAGGATGCTTTGAGCAAGGCAGAGGGCAAAAAACAGGCAGTTGGGAGAAGACTTCTTGAGGGCAAATTCTCCATTGCATGGCTGGTGCCATCAGTACAGAGGTTAAGCTGAAAATACAAAAAAAAACCCCTAAAAGGTTGGTTTTTTAACTCTCCAGGCTTACTTATCTGCCCCCGAGCATCTCTGATAGCCATCTGCAACACTGTCTGCAGAGCGAGGAGAGCCTGGGAAGGTCTGGGAAGATCACTCTGTGGCAAGGCAGCCGGGTGTCAAAATCAGCCCTGGGGACAGCGTGGCCATCGTCAGAGACAAGCTGCTGTTAGAGACCTCAGACCTCTGGAGCCAGGCTGGTCCCCCTCAGAGGAGAACAACCAAGGCTCTTAGGCAACAGCAAAGCCTCGGTGCCTGAGGACAACCCGTCCGCATGCAAAGCCATGACTCACGCCTGTGCAACCACGCATGCCGTGGGCACCAAGACTATTAGTCTGCACCCAGACCCCTTCCTGTTACTCCTCAGCACAGGAAGGACGTGGATCTGTTGGAGTGGGGCCAGAGGAGGCCCCGGAGATGCTGGGAGGGCTGGAGCCCCTCTGCTGGGAGGACAGGCTGAGAGAGTTGGGGGGGTTCAGCCTGGAGAAGAGAAGGCTCCGGGGAGACCTTGGAGCCCCTTCCAGTCCCTCAAGGGGCTCCAGGAGAGATGGGGAGGGACTCTGGGTCAGGGAGGGGAGCCATAGGATGAGGGGGAAGGGGTTGACACTGAAAGAGGGGAGATGGAGATGAGATCTGGGGAAGAAATGGTTGAATGTGAGGGCGGTGAGAGCCTGGCCCAGGTTGCCCCGAGAAGCTGTGGCTGCCCCATCCCTGGAGGGGTTCAAGGCCAGGTTTTGAGCAACCTGGTCTGGTGGGATTAGGAGTCCAGCTGTTCTCTGGAGCCACTGAAACTCAGTACTTAACAGCCAAAAGAGCTGCCTTTCCCTAAGGAGAGAGCAGCCCTCGAGCTACAAAACCTCACATGGAGCTGCCCTCACAGGACTGGGTGTCCAGAGTGGTTGCTGCCACTAACGTCATCCGGGGGGACTGCCATGGCAGACCCTCCCCACTCTGAGGAAGGTTTGGGTGAGTGGGCTTTTCACAGGCAACACTGTCCCAAGCTTTGCAACAGCCTGTGGAGCAGAAGACCTAAGGAGACCTGTGTCTGTGCACCAGCCAGGGACGAGGAGGCAGGTCCCCACCATGAGGGTGCCATCCATGGGAGGGCAGGATGGGAGATGCCAAGAGATGGGGAGATGTCACCAGTTCCTGCGACAGCCAGGTAGGGAAAGCTTCTGCTCCCTCCCGGTGCCCTGCCAGCTCTTCATGTCCCCAGCATGATTTGTATGCTCACCCCAGCCTACAGCCTGGGAAATCAAAGTGCTTACCAGACAGCTGGCCACAGAAGCTTGGCTTTGGTCTCCATTTATCCAGTGACTCCAACACGGTGAGACAGGCTCGTGCAGAAGGAGAGGCGGCAGGACCTAATACGCTGCAGAAGATGACAGTAGTTTCAAACTAATGGACAATGCTGAAGACAGGGTGTCACCAACGTGGTGAATCAGAGCTGCTTCAGGGGAACAGAGGAGCGGGTAGAAAGAAAGAAAATAAAATCAAGGCTTACAGCTTTTAGCCCCAGGCAGTGTCCTCCTTGGGAAGGCTGAGCCCTCGGGGGGGTCCCTGCTTGCAGCCCCATGGAGCGGAGCCCTCCAGGGTGCACAGGTCCCCCCTGTCCCCATTCACAAGCCACCACTCACTGTGCAAGTCCTCAGGTGCTTGCACCATCCCTGAAGGGCTTCTAACCTTCAAAGCAGTTTCCTTCCAGGGATCAGCAAGTGGGTGCCTTATCTCACCATCCAGGCTCAGAACGACGAGTGGCAGAAGGGATAATTAAAGCTGAGCTGCTAAAAAGCCTCCCTGCAGACTTCCCCCCACCACCTCTGAAGGGGACGGTGAAACAGCAGGACCTCAGGACTCCAGAGACCTCATGGAGAAGTTAAACAGGGTCATTTCTGCCATCCCCAGCATCACTGGCAACCCCAGCGCCCGGATCTGGCATCCAGAGCAGAGCACCTCTTTGGTGACAGGCAGGGCAGGAGGAGCTGCCAGGCGGTGGGAGGTGGAAGCAGAAAAGGCAAATAGTGTTTGCCAACCTTTTGGGCTGGAGAGGGAGCACCAAACAGCACCCAGCACCCAGTGCCAGAGCACCCAATATGCGCTCGCTCCATCCTTTGCCAACAGCCTGCAGCAAAACCCCAGCAGAGCTCCAGGCGGCCAGCAGCCCTGGCAAAGCCCCAGGGGCTGCCCCCGCTCCATCTTTCTCTCTTCAGACAAATCCCAGAGCACCTGCAACACCCTTCCTCCAGCCCCGAGCATGGCAGAGCCCCCGTGCCCCCCTCGCAGCCCCCTACTCCATCCAGACAAGCTGAACTACCCCAGACACCACAGACGCGGCGAGATTTGTGTCCAAAAAACAAGGAGGTGAAGCCCAAATTTCAGGATACCCACATGCCTGCTCATCATCACCCTGAGGACTGTGCTTCTGTGACCCTCAGGACTCCAGAGACCTCACGGAGAAGTTAAACAGGGTCATTTCTGCCATCCCCAGCATCACTGGCAACCCCAGCGCTCGGATCTGGCATCCAGAGCAGAGCACCTCTTTGGTGACAGGCAGGGCAGGAGGAGCTGCCAGGTGGTGGGAGGTGGAAGCAGAAAAGGCAAATAGTGTTTGCCAACCTTTTGGGCTGGAGAGGGAGCACCAAACAGCACCCAGCACCCAGTGCCAGAGCACCCAATATGCGCTCGCTCCATCCTTTGCCAACAGCCTGCAGCAAAACCCCAGCAGAGCTCCAGGCGGCCAGCAGCCCTGGCAAAGCCCCAGGGGCTGCCCCCGCTCCATCTTTCTCTCTTCAGACAAATCCCAGAGCACCTGCAACACCCTTCCTCCAGCCCCGAGCATGGCAGAGCCCCCGTGCCCCCCTCGCAGCCCCCTACTCCATCCAGACAAGCTGAACTACCCCAGACACCACAGACGCGGCGAGATTTGTGTCCAAAAAACAAGGAGGTGAAGCCCAAATTTCAGGATACCCACATGCCTGCTCATCATCACCCTGAGGACTGTGCTTCTGTGATGGAAAGGAAAACGGGTACCACAAGGGAAAGGCAAGAAGCCACCAGGTATTGCATCCCTCCCAATAGAGATGTTTCCACCAGCTTCAGCCCCGCTGCCCACCCCTGGCCACGTAGGCTGAGATTTTTGGCTCCTGCCTGGCCAGGCTATAAATCCCCCAGGCTGAGGGTGAAGCACAGGGAAAGCAGAGGAGCTCTTCACATCCTGTAACACAAGATCTCGACCCTAGAAGCCCAGAAAAGGTGACAGAGATGGGCAGCAGGGGGGACAACACCTACCACGCCGCCCCTCAGCCCTCACAAGCGATGCCCCGCATCAGTGTGGGATGCGGTGGGTGCTGGTGGGTGTCCTGGGTCGGGTCCCCGAGCACGGGGACAGCAAGAAGTGCCACCCTCCATCCCACCCAGGGACCCTGAGTGCTGCAACTCACCGTGGAAGAGGCATCAGGGATGTGGGAGAGCCAGCAGCGCTGCCAGATGGGGGCAAAGAGCCTACAGCATCTCCACAATGTGCTGGTGCCTCCTCTTGACCCTTTTAAATACTGGGGGGAAAAGAAAAAAAACCACCTTAATAAAAAATATCACTCAGTTAAATCAACCTAAAACCACACAAAAAGGCCTGAGTTGATACCATTTAAAAACAGCAACCACCTCTCCTAAGCACGGTTCTCATCCCAGGGAGGGAGAAGTGCCAGAAATCAACTCAAAATTGCAGTCGATTCTCTGTGGAAGGAATTCAGCTGCTTCGCTGATAAGCAGCAATATAAATCTCTAAGCTGGAGAGGTAGATCATTAAGGGGAAATGTTTAGAGAAATTAAATCCTTTTTCCTGCTTCTTATGCTAATAGGGAAAACCAAGCTGATTTGCAGGAGGACAACATTTAGCAATATCCAATTCATCAAAGCCCCCATCTGTTCTCATTCTCATGCTGAGTTTGTCAAAAAAAATCAGCTTTCCTTCAACCAACACCCGCCTCACTTTTAACCGGTAAGAGGCCAATTCTGGAGAGATTTGTAAATAAACCACTTCTGCAAATCCAGCCAGAAAAAACAGACAGGGGAAGGGCCTGATTAATCGAAATACATGTCAGGATTGAAGGGATTGAGGAGAGACGAGGGGACGGGGAATGACTAATCAGTGCAGCTGGCAAAATACCCCGGAGCGGAGGCAGGGCTCGGGCGAGCGGCCAGCGGAGGGTTAGTGGTACCAGAAAGGGGGGAATTCTCCCCCCCCCAGGATCCTACATCTCCACCTCTGCTGCTCCTGGATGAAGGGGGATCTGGAAAGAGCTCCATGGCAGAGCCACCCTGCGCGGGGGGACCAGCAAGCTCCTCCTGCAGCTCAGAGGGATCTAGAAAAATCTCCTTAAAAATTGTCTTCCTGTTCCTTATGGGAAGTGATGCTGGAATGGGTTGTTATATGCAATGTTATTTGCTTCAACAACTATTCTATCTATTCTGTTCTAACTATTCACAGCTATTGAAGCCAGCAGATTATCAATACATTTTATGGGAAGTGATGCTGGAATGGGTTGTTATACGCAATGTTAATTGCTTCAACAACTGTTCTACCTATTCACAGCTATTGAAGCCAACAGATTATCAATACATTAAAAAAAAAAGACACCGTGGAGCAGATCCTTCTTGCCCAGAGAAGCTGTGGCTGCCCCATCCCTGGAGGGGTTCAAGGCCAGGTTGGAGGGGGCTTGGAGCAACCTGGGCTGGTGGGAGGTGTCCCTGCCCAGGGCAGGGGGTTGGAACTTGATGATCTTTAAGGTCCCTTCCAACTCTAACCATTCTATGATTCTACCTCAAAGCTTGGAAAGTAGGGACTGAAGTAAGGAGGCTGTGTCCCTATATTCTGGATGAAGGAAGAATCCTACAGGATTATTCTCTAAGCTCCTGTATTCAATTCACTTGGCCGTTTAAACTACATATGCATTTTTCTGCAGTGGGGATGACACTTCCAGGGCTGCAGCCCCTCAGATGGTACCCATCCAGACTCTGAGGGCAGAACCCAGCCTCGTGGGCAGCTCCAGCACAGATCCCGCTGGGACACGCACACCAGGTGTAGGCACAGGGCTCATTTTCCTTACGGCACGGCAGCCAGCGGAGGGGAAAAAACCCTGACATTTACTGCCCTAAAGCCAAAACTGGGGTGGTGGTTTTGTTTTTTTTCATCCCCATTCACGGGGCAGGAAATCTCACCAGGCGCAGCTGCAGGAGCCCCAGGGTGGCTCTGCTCATCACCTGCCCCTTCCACAGCCCTTTTTTTTTCCCCCTCCGAGCCGGGGAGGAGCACACACCGACAAGCTCAGCTCTCCCCGTGGCAGCTGAAATGCTGCTCCTGCCCTGGGGTTGCCCCATCGCCTGCCCCACGGAGCTGGGAGCCACCTATGGCACCAGGCACCTTCGATGTCCCCAGGCTCCCTTCTCCACCAGCTCCATCTCCTTGGCCAAGCACGATACGGTGCACGATACGATATGGCACTGGTGAGGCCTCACCTTGAGTGCTGTGTCCAGTTTTGGGCTCCCTACCATAAAAAAGACATTGAGGTGCTGGAGCGGGTCCAGAGAAGGGCGACAAAGATGGTGAGGGGTCTGGAGAATAAGTCTTATGAGGAGAGGCTGAGGGAGTGGGAGGTGTTGAGCCTGGAGGAGAGGAGGCTGGGGGGGGACCGTAGTGCTCTCTCCAACTCCCTGAAAGGAGGGTGTAGAGAGGTGGGGGTCGGTCTCTTCTCTCAAGTCACAGGCGACAGGACGAGAGGAAATGGCCTCAAGTTGCCCCAGGGGAGGTTCAGGCTGGATATTAGGAAAAATTTTTTCACTGAAAGGATTCTCAGCCATTGGAATGGGCTGCCCAGGGAGGTGGTTGAGGCCCCATCCCTGGAGGTGTTCAAAAGCCGGGTTGATGTAGTGCTGGGAGGTATGGTTTAGTGATGATGCTCCTTGTTTGTTGTGTGGGTGACTATTTTTGTCAGTGAGGTTGACGGTTGGACAAGATGATCTTTAAGGTCCCTTCCAACCTAGAAGATTCTGTGATTCTGATTCTGTGATACGCAGCCCAAAAAAAGGAGCATGGAAAAGCTAGAAGGGCAAATGGGATCAACTCTTGAGGACACGCTTGTGTACGACCTACCATCAAAGATGGAGTCTCTAGACAGCTAAGAGATGTGCCACAGAGCTGGGGATGTGTTCCCAAGAGGGCTGTGACCCATCTGTCTGTAGGAGCAGACTGCCACAGAGCTGGGGATGTGTTCCCAAGAGAGCTGTGACCCACCTGCCTATAGGAGCAGATGACAGAATCCTAGAATCATCCAGGTTGGAAGGGACTTTTCAGATCATCGAGTCCAACCATCAGCCCAACACTGACAAACCCACCACTAACCCATGTCCCTCAGCACCACGTCTGCCCGGCTTTCAAATACCTCCAGGAATGGAGACTCCACCACTGCCCCAGGTAGCCTCTTCCAATGCTTGACAACCCATTTGGTGAAGAAAATCTTCCTAATATCCATCCTAAACCTCCCCTGGTGCAACTTGAGGACATTTCCTCTTGTCCTCTCGCTTCCCCTCAGCAAGGCACTGACCCACCGGGGGTGACACCCAAAAAACAGGTACATACGGCTCGCATCTGTGACACTTCCATTATTCTGGAGAGGAGCGAAGTCTTGCATGGAAACAGGACCAGCCAGAGCGAGTTCACACCATCTCCTATAAATACAGAGGAGAAAGAACCATTTTTTCTCTGCCCTGTTCAGTGTTGATCCCAACCACCCCAGTCCATCCGTCTGGAGCACAAACCAGGAGTGAGACATTTCTCCTTCTCTATCGTTACCTCCAGCTAATCCCCATATTGCCTCCAGGTGACTTCCTCTAGCTCAGTGTTGAGTCTTCATTTCCTAACGTCCTTTCATTCAGAAAGCTCTCACTGATCCATAACCTGCTTTTCCCATGTGTTTGCTCCACGCTCGTAGCTACTCTACAGGCACCCCCAGCACGAGGTGACACAGCTTACTCACAGGTACATACCGTTCCCATACCTATTGCCTCCTTCTAGAACAACCAAAAATACTTGCATTTCATGCTTTTGCCATCCTCTTTTAAGCTATGAAATTACTCCAGGTCCCTCTGTAGAACTGTTTTCCTCCAGCAGTGACACAGGTCCAAGCAGTCTTACAGGAGCACCTCCATGTTGCCACCACGTGGTCAGTTGGCTCCTTTCGCTCGCTCTCCTTTTTGGCCACACAATTCCTTCCACAACTCTCCAGAGTAAAGTTTGAGGAACCCTAAGAAATTTGTTCTAAAGCCCTTCAAAAAAATATATATATTAAAAATATATCTGTATATACTTATCCAGAATGGAGCAGATCTCAGTTTGGAGCTTTTGAGGTTTTAGAGCAGCATGAGGAGCATTAGCTCTTGGCCAACCACCTGATTATAACAGAAGCAATGAGTCAGGGTGGTGAGAGCCTGGCCCAGGTTGGCCAGAGAAGCTGTGGCTGCCCCATCCCTGGAGGGGTTCAAGGCCAGGTTGGAGGGGACTTGGAGCAACCTGGTCTGGTGGGAGGTGTCCCTGCCCAGGGCAGGGGGTTGGAACTGGATGGTCTTTAAGATTCCTTCCAACCCGAACCATTCTGTGATTCTAAATAGAAATGACACTTGTATCTGGAAAGTTTTAAAGAGCTAAATATGAAAAATCAGGGAAAAAGGGTTCCAACCCAAACCATTCTGTGATTCTAAATAGAAACGACACTTGTATCTGGAAAGTTTTAAGGAGCTAAATATGAAAAAGCGAGGAAAAAGGGCAAACTGAGGCAGAATCTCTTCTTCTACTAAGTTACTGAAGTCGATAAAGCCCACAGCAAGACCAAGAGTTCAGCAGGTAAAGAAAAGCTGACCCAAGAGTGGACTGTAGGGTACCAGCCAGCAGAGTGGTCAGAAATAGATTCAGAGAAGTGCCAAAGGTGAGGAACCAGGAGCTCCAGCTGAGGCAAACAAGGAGATAAGACAGGTCCAGGAGACAGATTCCCTCCTCTGTAAAGCAAAGAAGCCTTAAAATTAATGTCGACCTTGTAGTTGGGTGTTCCTGAACACTGACATACCGCTAGAGCGGATTGAAATTTCTCCTTCCCCACCAAACTATTCTAGTTTCAAAACCAGACCTACAGCAACCATAGACTCAAAAGCTTTTTTGCTTCTAGTCCCAACAATTTAGCTGTATCTCAACATACTTCAGTTTGACAGTTTGCTCGTTTTTCTCCTCTGTGCTGGCTGTTATTTTCTGTTATAGGTTATACGTTGAGTGGGAAGTTGGGCTTCTGCAAGCACCCCCTTAATTCCCCCAGGTAATATGTGTCCCCCTTACTCCTGTTGGGGAGGAACCAGAAGAGTTGGGAAGTTGGGCTTCTGCGAGCACCCCCTTAATTCCCCCAGGTAATATGTGTCCCCCTTACTCCTGTTGGGGAGGAACCACACGAGTATTATTGCACTTTCCCAGAAAATTCCACACATTCAGAGCAACCACATTCTGAGTTCTCCCTCCTCAGAGAAGAGATGGAGAAAAGAGCAAAGGAAGGGGTGAGACAGACTCTCCGGTGGCCAGTTTTGCGCCGGGCCGGCTGATACTCGTTAGGGCTTTTGAGGGCACCTTCTCCAGATTGATTTCCTCCTCAAGAAACCTCTTTCCTTTCAGAGCTCACACAATTCTGAATTAAGCCTCCCACTCCGAGATAAATTCCCCGCTGTTGACCCCTTCAGCTGCTGGGATTTGATCTCGGAGCGCGTAGGCGGGAGAGGGGAGGAGTCCCATCTGGAGCTGAACCGCGATTTGCAGGCCTTTTACGCAAATACAGAAAATAGTTACAAAGAAATGAATTTTAAACACAATTTGTCAACTCCGGCCTACATTCTTTTTTGCAACACAAGAACTGGTTGTATAACCATCCCTGCCTAAGCCTGCTACGTGGGAAAGCTCCTTCCCAAACCGTACAAGCCCTCCAACCAAAGCGAGGAGCGCTCAGCTCGCACCCAAGCCAGCCTCAACAAAAAACCTCACTAGTTTGAAGTATTATTCAAACTTTTCTTTTCCAAAAGACTTATGACAGAATCACAGGATGATATGGGGTTGGAAGGGACCTCTGGAGATCATCTAGTCCAACCCCCTGCCAGAGCAGGTCCACCCAGAGCAGGTTGCACAGGATTTAAGTATTTATAGGTGTGGGTCAGATCCCCCCTCAACCTTCTCTTCTCCAGACTAAAAACACCCAAGTCCCTCAGCCTTTCCTCATGAGAGAGATGCTCCAGGCCCCTCATCATCTCTGTAGCCCTCTGCTGTCCCCTCTCCAGCAGTTCCCTGTCCTTCTGGAACTGGGGAGCCCAGAACTGGTCCCAGTGCTCCAGATGTGCCCTCCCCAGGGCAGAGCAGAGGGGGAGAATAACCTCCCTCCACCTTCACACTCTTCTTGATGCCCCCCAGGATGCCAGTGGCCTTCTTGGCCCCAAGGGCACATTGCTGGCTCATGGGCACCCTGTTGTCCACCAGGACTTCCAGGTCTTTTTCCACAGAGCTGCTCTCCAGCTGGTCAGCCCCAACCTGTCCTGGTGCAGGGGGTTATTCCTCCCCAAATGATTTATTAGCTATAGTGTTACAACAAATTATCTTTTCCCCAAGGAAATAGTTGCATTTTTGCTTCACTGCTAAACAGCAAGACACTCTCTTAAAAAAAAAAAAAAAGGACACAAACACAGGAATCCAAAGCTGGTGGTTATTTTTTACTTGAAGACTCTCTGAAACATTAAAAAAAAAAAAAAGTAGTATTATTACAGTTAATTAATTCCTTCTGGAATGAAATGGGACATGCTTGGTCAAGGTGATGATATGGAAAGGGCAGTCTGATTTTTTTTTTTTTACAAAACTGATATTCAAGCATCATCAACACACACAAAGGACAGGCTCTTACGCACATTTGTTACATCGCAACCTTCGCTCAGTCTCAGTAAACATCTTTGGAATATAGATTCTTCTTTTTTTAAAAAAAAAAAAATCATCAAGAAACTTAAATATTCACAGGACAAAACCATAACATCATTCAAAATAGGAACAGTACAGATTTAGAGAGATCAGCAATCACAGGCTGCCTATGGAGAATCACAACTTGCCAGGCAGAAGCTGGATTCCAGCAACTGGGAACACCGAGGACTAAGAGGCAGTTTGGGAATTTGGTTTCTTGCCTAAGGTGGGGAGGCAGCAGGAAAAGGTAGGAGTGCAGGGGGCAAAGGCAAGGTGAATAGAAATTAGGGCTAAAAGTTCTTGTTAAACCAGGAGGCTAGCAGCACAGCACGAAGAAAAAAAAAAGAAAAGAAAAAAAAAAGGATGTTTGTTCTCTTAAAATTAAAACTTAGCCAAAAGTTATCAGTTTACGCTTCCTATATTGCACAAACAAACTGAAAAATTAGATAACCCTGCATTTAAAACAGCTACATTTAAATATATTCCAAGTGGAGTCAGCCCATATAGTTCAGCTTTTGAAACAATTCAGCACTTTTTCCCTAACAGCATCCAGCATTTGTGTGTCCCCTGTCTTCCCAAGCCCTCTCCAAACTAAGGAAATACACCATTTATCAAAGACTAGTGCTACTGGTTCTCCTTAGGACATCACGTAATTTATTGCTTTATTTTACTAGTGACAAAGGCTAAAATCTAAACTTTTAGAGAATTTAAGGCAAACCCACAAGACCATCACCTTAAGGGCATTTACGGCACACAGTGGTCTTCATTCAAACACCAGGAAAAGTCTGATATCTAAAAATGGCAGGAACACTCTGATTTTAACCAAAAGGACCCTTTTGAGCATTAGCTATTATCTTCCTAACACGAAACCCAGCGCTGAAGTCGGAAGTCAATTCAGAGCACCAGTATTCAGAAAAAGAAAAAAAAAAAAAAGCAGCAAGCAAAAGTCAAAGTAGGAAGTTCCAGGACATCTTACATAATAACTCATTCTTACTCATCTAAGGAGTCAGATATTTGAATGTTGAATCACTTCTTTCCATTCACAACACAGAGGATGAATTATGATCTACTTAAAATGCAACTTAGAAGCGTTCAAGACTGGCAAAAACCATGGAGCATTCTCAACAGCTTTACAAGCTTCACCTGCAAAAGCTCGGAATTTTCTTTCTCCCAGTATTTCTTTTGTATCCCACAGAGTTCGTTAGGAGCTCCTCGTCCGATGCTCTGCCTTCTTAATTATCCCTAGGAAAGCCTGGCCTCAGAGCGCCGGGCAGCAGCGAAAATATCAACAGCATTTCTACTTTTGCAGTCTTAATTACTCACGACCAAGTTCATTATCGACACAGATTTCTCAACTGCCAGTCCCACAAACCCACACAGATGAAAAATTTAAAAAACTAAAACAAAAAAAAACAAAACAGAAACAAAACAGCAAGAACAGGCTTGTCCAAAAAGCTACATGTGCTCAGCGTCAGGCAAACCCTTCCCTTGCAAATACTTTGGAAATTAACTGAAAGAATATGGAAAATTCTTCACAAGTGATGCAAGATAACACTGGCCCGATGTGCATGTGCATTCTTTTTATTCCTATACAGAGTGAAAACAAACACCAACCAGAAAACAGAAGGCTACATTTTTTTTTTAAAAGAAAGAATTAGGGTTAATTGTTTCAAGATGGTTTTGTGGAAATAGAAAAGATGACTTTCTGTAAAAGAAATTAAGAAGCAGTTATTTCAACTGCTGAAATCCAGCCTGCCTGGATTTGCAGTCAAATTTGATTAAGCAGATATTACTGATGATGTATTAAAAATAAGCAAGGTTCTACTGCCATCCAGCAGGATGAAGGGATTTGCACTCAGCAGAGAACCCTGCGTGTAAACTATTCCCATCTGAATCGGAGTCACTGAGACAAACAAGACTTCATGGTGCTACTCGGAATTTTTTTTCTGGAGAATTACTTCACGAAGAAGCTCCTATAGTTTTTCTACAGCATTTTCTACAAGAAAAGACCAGGTTTTTGGTCAGCCAGAGAATCCACACTACAGAGAGTGCTCGTGGTTAAGTTTCACCCGGGAGGGTGGCAAAGACAAGCTCCCCAGCTTCTGTTCAGAGGGCACCGTGCAACTCTGTTCCTCTAAATTCAGAGAGCAACTTCCATCTCTTTGGAAGGGGAGGGAGGGGGGGGGGATGTAGCACTCATTGTCATAGCAGAAAGCAGTTTTTGTCACATAAAAAGCCTGGAATACGTCCTGTAAGTGAAGGAACTTTTTCCTCCTCAGCATTTCTTCAGAGCACAACTAGAAGATAAGATTTACACCGCGAAACCTTGCTTTGAATGCTTTACCAGCAAACAGGTTAGTGCATTTTCCTTGCTAATGTTCCCTAACGCCACAAGGACACCGGTTTACATGCTGTTAAAAAATATATCCCTACAGAACAAGTCATTCCAGAAGCCACGTAAATTATTTCTTGGCACTTCTCTGCACCCAGACAGGAGAAGTTCCAGCCATTTGCAACAGCATGATTTAGTTTTGAATACCTGATGCCGCCTTCTTTTTTTTCTTTTTATTTTTTTTTCCTGAATTCATGAAATGCATCGATATTACCACGACAGGAGACATTCTTCTCTGGAAGCTGAAGGATTTGACATTTATCTCCTTTTGAGCTGGTGACACTAATCCTGCCCTCAAATAAAGCTATGATTTATCCACTGCAGCAGCAGGTTTCACTGCGCGCTGCCTTACGGTGTTCGGTGACGAGTCTCCGTTGGACACCTCTTTACCCTCTGTGTCATCATCTGAGATATCTTCCTCATCTGCTTCTTGCTCTTCGTCCAGCTTTTTCAGCAGCTGAGCTGACTCTGGAGCTAGTTTTCCTTAAGAAGAAAGGAAAACAAGCACACACAAATAAATACTATTACCACATGAAATATACCTTTTGTAACATCATAGGCTAGCACAGAATTCTAATTAATTTAATCCAGGTAGCACTTTCCAGTGTCAGTCACTCTTTCCTATCTTGCAGGTATGAAAATGCTGTAAAAACATTTTTCTATCTCCTAAAAAATGATTTTCTTACAAATAGTTCAGCTTCAGCTAAATACAAAGTACAAATCTGCTATAAACCCCAAGGGCAAACACCTGCAGGTAAAGCACAGCATCAATCACAAACTTCTACACTAAAATCTCATGTCCTGCAGGCACAAGTTACATACCAAGATGTATTAAAAAAGATTTACCAAACAGCTTTACTGAATCAGAAATACACAGTGGGCTTACTTGAATAAGGGTATTGTGGTGGTCTCTGCCTTTTGGATGGACAGATACAGTCTGCCAAGAACACCATTATCTGAAACCAAAGGAAGACAATTTTATACCTCCAAAACATCCTGCGCATTAGAACCATAGAATCATTTAGGTTAGAAAAGACCCTTAAGATCATCGAGTCCAACCATCAACCCAGCACTGACAAAACCACCACTAACCCATGTCCCTCAGCACCACGTCTGCCCGGCTTTTAAATACCTCCAGGGATGGAGATTCCACCACTGCCCTGGGCAGCTTCTTCCAAGACTTGACAACCCTTTCCAAGAAGAAACTTCCCACTGCCCTGGGCAGCTTCTTCCAATGCTTGACAACCCTTTCCAAGAAGCAATTTCTCCTTAATCTCCAACCTGAACCTCCCCTGGTGCAACTTGTCCCATCGCCTGTTCCTTGGGAGAAGAGACCGACCCCCCCTGGCTCAGCCTCCTTTTCTCCAGGCTGAACACCCCCAGCTCCCTCAGCTGCTCCTCATAAGACTTACTCTCCAGACCCCTCACCATCTTTGTTGCCCTTCTCTGGACCTGCTCCAGCACCTCAATGTCTTTTTTATGGTAGGGAGCCCAAAACTGGACACAGTACTCCAGGTGGGGCCTCACCAGTGCCCAGTACAGGGGGACAATCACTTCCCTAGTCCTGCTGGCCACACTGTTCCTGATACTGGCCCTCTTGGCCACCTGGGCACACTGTTGGCTCATATTCAGCCGGCTGTCAACCAACACCCCCAGGTCCTTTTCCAGCAGGCAGCTCTCCAGTCACTTTCCCCTTGGATTATGGGGACTTCATTCTACTCCCTGTGTCTTCCAGCTCAGCAGGCTGGGTACCCCAAGAACATCTGGTCTTACTGCTAAAGACTGAGGCAAAGAAGGAGTTAGTGCTTCACTTACAAGTCCCAGTATTAGACCCGAGAATAGAGTTGCCAGCGCAAAAATAGCATAGGAGCCCCAGACCGGTATTCCGACGCTTTCTGTTAAATAACCATGGCAGTGCTGGAATATAAGACAAGAAAATCATTTCATGAACAGCTGAATAGCACGTCTGTTAATATAAAATGAAATAGAAATGTGAGCACATACCCTGATCCACATTGACAACTGAAACAAAGCTGACATACTGCTCATCCTGAAACAAAACAGAAAAAAGTAACTTGAATCTAGTCCCATGCAGAATAACTTCCTGCTCATCTCTAGTTTCCCTTCCAACTAATTTGATTTTTATCTTCTGTTTCATCTTTTACTGCAATAAACACTTCCTTCACATGAAGCTACCTTTGGTACCAACCTCAGATTGCACGGTGTTCCACACACGGACAACTACGAACTCACAAATTTCCTTGACTTGGATCTACTGACATAAGAATTTCAGTTCTGTTTATGTTCTAAGTTATATTTGGACCAACAGTTTATGAGAAGCCAGCTGGAAACTCTATTCAAGACATTAAGAATTGAGCATCTGGACATTTTATTAAATCAAAACATTTCCGTATTAAAATAATCAGGTTATATAAGAACTGAGAGATCCTCATATGTTTAAGTTTAGCAATGATGACATAGAAAAAGGCCAGGCTATCTGCCATCTATATCCTGCTGATTCAGACATCTCCCTGTTATTCTGAAACTTCCCTATCTGCAAAGGAGAGGAGAATTTGAAACATTAAGCCAACGTGAGTTGCTAATGAGCGAGGCATAGAAGAAGCCTGTGTACTGCTTCAGGATGTGCAAAAAATGGAGCTGGGATTGTACACTTCTAATAGAAAACTCATTAATCCTAAAATTAGTACCCTGTTTCACACATTCCTTGGTGCGGGCTAATAATTTGAAGATCAACCACACAGTTTGAAGATTCAAATCACACTGGGAATAGACAAAGTAACAATGCTGAGCTTCCTAGAAAGAGCCACAAAAAAAAAATGTACTATTTCAGTCCAGCATAAGTTCGCAAACTGAACCCTGCTACAGCACAGCGCAGTCAGCACTGAGGCCTTTCACCCATCCTTGCTCCAATAACAGAAAACCATGAACAATTGGGCTCATTTGTCCCAACCGATGGTATTCCCAACATCCCTTATCACTCCCAGTTACTCTGAAACCATCACACAGCACAGGCAGCACCGACTAAAAGCACTTCAAAGCCACAAAACTAGAAAGTATTGCAAAGAGCATGTTTTTTCTCTGGCTACTCAGTTTCCCCACTTCACTTTTCCTTCAAGAAAAGAAGCTTCATCCTTCTACACTGCTTTTAACTTTGCTCCAGATGTGCCTTCTTAAATCCCAGCCCTTATCTTATTACTACTCATATTTGAGTGGAACCTCTTATGTTCCAACTTGTGCCCGTTGCCCCTCGTCCTCTCGGTGGGAACCACTGAAAAGAGTCTGGCTCCCTCCTCCTTCAACCCTCCCTTGAGATACTTGTAGGCGTTGAAGAAGCTTCATCCTTCTACACTGCTTTTAACTTTGCTCCAGATGTGCCTTCTTAAATGGCCAGCCCTTATCTTATGACTACGTTGCTACATTATTTTCCAGTTTTTATTGCTAATTTCCTAGCATTCAGCTGCACAAAACATCTTTCCACTGTACAAGAAGAATGCCAGGTGCCAGTAAGTCACCAACAAGTGTCAAAAAACTATTATAAAAACCATACCAAAACTTACAGGAAAGAGGAAGGACCAAACCATGATGAAACCGGTTCAATAGATTTCCATTCCTGGTCGCTGATGAAATTTATGAAATCAGATTTTGTTCTTGCGCCCTGGTATCTCCTGAACTGTCCATCTTTACAGCTGTAAAACAAACCAAAAAAGGCCTTCATTTTAGACAGTCCAAGCACGCGGCATTTCCTTCCACTCAACATCTTCCCCTCCCATCCCCTTGCTAATTTTTATTTTATTTTAATTTTACTTCGCATTACGTGATATTGGCTCTAAAATGTTTCTCCAAGAATCCTGACTACAAGTATTTCTGGAATCTTGGCTGGCTTTAGGTTGCCATTCCATAAAAAGATAACGATCTTCCTAATGCACTTGCCACACAACAGCATTAAGATCAACCTACAGAGAAAAGATTGCAAAACAGAAACACCCATGAAAAGATAGATTAAATAAGGCCTGAAGGGAAAAGAAAAAAAAAATCTACTGGCACTACTGTAAGGTCATAGCGGGTAAGACAGCGGTTGTCTCTGTGTAAAGTAACGCCCATTCTTAAAAAAGAATAGTAAATCTCACTCATTTGCCCCCCAAAAAAGGGGAAAAAAAAAAAGTCCTTTCTCCTCCAAAAAATCCTGCTGCATTGTGTACTTACTGATAGATGGTAGGAAGAGCTGTTATGATAAATCGTCCACTTAATCCTGTAAGAAGAGAGTTATTTTCAGAACAGTAGAGCACTCTTATGTAAGAAAAGGTGAGAAATGTTATTATACACCAAAATAAGAACAGCAGCTCCTAGGTATCAATCTGCAATTCTGACCAAACACAAACTTATGCACATCAAGGTACTGCACACAGTCCAAAAGAAAGGTCCCTGGACAAAGAGGGAGGGAAATAGAGATGTCCAGGGATAACCGTTCTACTTGACTGTTTTGGCTGTAGCTCTTCAGAGAGAGATGCCCCCCTTTCCCACACGATCTGCAACCTCCAGTGCTGGCAGAAAATAACCCAAGTTAGGCAAGTTTCAAAAGTTCTTACGATACTTTGGAGGAGTATCAGCAGAGAGAAGGACTTTTACAAACCCCACGCAGGCACGAGGGCAATAGAGAGAAATGAGCTTCAGCTGAGGGAGACTGAATTGCTTCCACTCCCTTTTGCCAGCCAAGGCAGGTTGTACTACAGGGAAAGCTGAAAGCACATTTTTTCGCTCTGTAAGATGCTTTAAAAACATGCTGAAAAATCTCTTTGAAATCCTCCAAATTGCCCTCTTGAGAAATCCCCTTGTTCCCTTTATTTATTAAGCAAGACGACAGTGTTTACTCTACATCCAGCAACCTGCCCTCAGCAGCGATCAGGAAAATAACTATATTATTCCTATTCATTCCAATTCATTTTCTAAAATCACCAGACGCCTTTCCCGAGCCCCCAGGAGCCCAGAGGCCCCGGGAAAGGGCGCTGGGAGCCCGCCCCCGGCCCCGCCGCCCTCTCACCCGGCTGCTCCGTGACATCCACTTTGGCAATGTTCACTTCCAGGTCCTCGCCCCACTCGGCAAACTTCTCCCACTCGGGCTGCAGGTTCTGGCAGGCTGGGCACCACGGGGCATAGCTGTGGGCAGCGGGAGTCTGTCACCAGCGGGCACCCCTCGGTCCCCCGCCGCCTCGGCTGGGCACCACGGGGCATAGCTGTGGGCACGGGGAGTCTGTCACCAGCGGGCACCCCTCAGTCCCCCGCCGCCTAAGAGAGGGCCGCGGAGAGACACACACACGCCCCCCCCCGCTCCACCTCAGCATCCCCGGCAGCCCCCCCTCTCGACTCACACCTCCACCATCCACTCGCCCTGCAGCAGCTCCCGCCACATG